GCACGGTCAGATAGGAGGTTAGGGGAACAGAGAGAGAGAGAGATGTACTTGAGCCATTGTGACTCACATTTGTTCGGTCATTTTCAGATTTACAGGAAGAGACTTCACTGCAAAGTGCAAATTCATCGGGGATAATTGGAAAAGGGGGCAAAATGGGGAACGAAATGAGAATGGAAGATTAACTCGCGGGAAATTGAGTGTTGAATGTGCTTAACCTAATATGAGTCTTGATATAAAGCGTATTTTGAAATTTAGAGCCAAGAAATAATAGGGACACGAATAAATAGCTGTAGGGAATTCCAAGATCAGTTAATATTGCATTCGAGTAAAGATGTATTGACAAGAATATTGGAACAAGAGCGTGCAATCAAATTTGAATACATCACTTAATAGTTAAAATTCCAAGGTTTTTGTTTCGTAGATCAAATAAAATGAAAACGGGCAGAAATGACGTTTGTGAGGAAATTTGGGGAAATTGAGGGGAAGATGGACGGCACTACAAGGATAAAAAACACAGAAATAGCAATAAACGATTAGAGAAAGTAAAATTTCCTCATAAACTTTCAGATTCAATTGATTTTCTGCGAGATAACAAAAAAGGTCTTCAGAGATGAGGTTCAATCAGAATTGTATATGGCCTTGAAACATTCCCGCATTGCTTGAATACAATAGCGAAAGTGAAGAGTGTACTAAAGCTAAACAATCTTCGATTACCTTGACACCGTTTTCTGAGGGATTCCAGTAGAATTGCACAGCGTTGTGGGCGATCTCTTCAATTTGACCGATCATTCCGGAGCTGTTCTTGCTGTCCACCTCAAGAATTCGTTGTTTGGCTGAATGTTGGCGGCTGTGCCAAAATTGCCATGTTTTAATTTCTTCCTCGTAAGTTTTGTCTTCTCGGAAGACGATCATCAACTGGCTCTGAAAATGCAAATGTTTAAGAGTCCTTATTTAAACATCTCGCTTTCTCAAACAAATTGTCTTCGCATAGAAATGCATTCTGATATTGTTCGAAT